CTGCGTTATGAGCTTCGCAAAGTTTGATGATAGTGAGTACTGAATTGGAAGCGACGCGGAAGGCCGTGGCGATGGCTTAATGTAAGGCGCTGTAAAGATATTTGCCTTGATTGTAAAAGTGAGTAAAACTATCCCTGTAACAGGCCGTGAAGGCCCATAGGGTTGTGAGACTTTGAGGGTCCCACATTATCTAGACAATCGGCCCAAAGATGGCGGTGAGGTTGTCAGCCTTACTCGCCGGCCGTCCTTACCCCCTAGGAAGATTCCTAGTACTCATTTCTGTTAGAGACAGAGTCGATCCCAGGGCCATAGTGCGGCTGGAAAGATTAGGTAAATTGAAAAAATCTAATGACCTCATGAAGAATCAAATCCTCGACCTTCCGGCTTGTAGCTTAGTGCCTCAACCAACTACGCTACCGCGTGACCCCCGCTGTCGTGATGGACCCAGGAAATTCCACGAAAGTTCTCAGTCAGGACGCTTGGACTCCCGTACGAGATTCGATGTGGAGACCTTCCGAACACAAATCAGAAAATTTACCGCTTGAGCCAGTCCGTTCGGTGTTAGGAGCATAATAAGCAGGATCGTAAATAAATAGGACGCGAGAGTGTGGCCTGGGTTCAGTGACACAGGATTAGAATCCTGCGTCAGGCTCCTGAATCCAGGGCGATCGTTTCTCAGGTCTGGCGATTATCGCCCTTCCAACAGGAACTTCAAGAAACTCTCTGATCTAGCGGTAATGCTCTCCACTTGCATATGGAACTTGCTCTGCCCCAGTCATAGTTGAGCAATCGACTATCCAGAGTTTTCTCACACTTTTATTCAGTCCCTTCAGCAACTGTAAAAAAAAAATAACGGTACTGCTCTACCCAGAGCCGGGATAGCGCAGTCGGTATAGTGACTGCCTACTGGCTAGAAGACCGAGGGGCCGGAGTTCGAGTCACTCTACGGCCCAGAGTTCTCACTTCTCCATATCGTCCAGACCGACCCTGGGGTTAACACAATGGATGACGGGGGGCTCTTTCCCCGGGGTTAAAGCGGCCGGGGAGTGAACCTAACCACTCAGGTCCAACAAGTACTGCGGTCAAGAGTATCGTGAGGATAACTGAGGAGCTATTTCAAGGAAACAACGGCTCCGGTCTATCGAGATTAACGACAGTGGGGATCCGTTGCGCTGACCACGCGACACCCTCTATTCGCGAAATTTGGCACTAACTTCGCCGACAAGCGGCGGTCGCTCGGTCGGTATTGTTCGCTTACAGACTACATGCCACGGAGTTCTTTTGTTTGTTTTTAGTTATTTTATCCAAAGGATCAGTCAAAATCCGAAGTCCTTTGATACACTTAGTAACAAATTTATTTCTTATGGTGAGGATTTGTTAGCCCAACGCCAAAACTGGATAACCACCCCTTGTCGCCACTCCGCGACTATTTATTCAATATATACGCAGCTACCCTCCTTATCTAGAGAGCGTCTCCTCCATCCGCAACCTGAGGACGCAGCATGCCGTGGTGACAAGGGCCCCATTTACGAGTAACGTGGTCACAAAGCAATATACAAATTGGACAAAGCCAGCCAACACAAGAGTACAGATATACAGTTATGCAACTGTACAACATTGCCACTCCCTGTTCCCCAGCGATACGTGAGATCAGGCGCAACCGCCAGTAGCAGCCACTGTGTCCCTCTAGCAGAACTCATCTACTTTCTGTTACATTTTAAAGCGTTCTGAACCATGTATCAAGGTCAATATCAACAGGAGGTCTTTATTAGAAGGCGACCGGAACAGGAAACTGCACAGTGGGAGGCGTCCTGACACCCCAAAAAGTTTTTTAGACCTGCTTTCTGACTCACACTTCTGCCATGCATTACTAAAATAGGGTACATGGTATTAAAAAAGTTTTGGCAAGAACTAATAGCCTACTTTGCTTTTACACGACCTGTACACATTTCGTCTCTATAATTTGCTGTCGAGTTCGATCCTCTTCACTATTTCTTTCCTTTAATAAAACTATTTACTGCATCAGTCACATACACCCTTCTGCCACTCATTGTGAATGTATATTTCCTTTGTACTTACATGCAGACGGAGCAAGGAACTAGTCACAGGGACGCTTACCTGAAAAGACAAAGACACAGATAAAGTAACATATTCATAACTTGGAGCTGTACTAAGTAGACACTTCACAGAGTCCGGAGTAGATTTCATTCGCTTTCTATTCGTGTGTAAGCTTCTCAGTTGCACTATTGTCTTCGGAGAGACTGCTTTCGAAGGCGTTTCCTGAGAAAGATCCGTACAGAATTGTAAGACTATTTTGCTTATAAAATATCGTGTTACGTTCTAAAAGAACGTTCTTCAGTTTCGAGTGGGGAAGGTACCGTAAGTAGACGCGTAACGTTTCCTTATCAAATAATATTCTCTTGAAATTGAGCGATTTTTTTCTCCGAGGAAACTGAAGTCGGATCTGAACCTCATGCAACCTAAGCATTACGAGTTACAGTAACTCGAAAGCTGCCTCCGCAGTCTAGGGGTAACGTTCCCACCTCATGACTCAAGGTACGCGGGTTCAAATACACGGCGGAGGTCGTGGAATTTTTAAGGGCGGAAAAATTCAGGAAACAAGTCCTCCGGGAGGGACTTTAAGCCGTGGATCCCGTGTCGTAGATTTACGGCACGTAAAAGAGCCTCATGTCTCTAGGAGGCCTCTGAGCAAAATTTGGCCAAAAATTTCCCGCCCAAGTAGTTTCCAATGCCTCCGGTAAATGGAGGAAGTATTGGTACCACTGCCAGTAGAATGCTGGAACCTCGCTGGCAGAAAGGGACTGATAGTAAGCACCAGTACCGGTAGGGGATGGAGATTGTAGGAATTAGAAAGGGGGATGTACAATAGACTATCAGTCGCGGTGCATGGGGAAACCCACCCCCTCAATACTGAATAACTGAATACAGTACTCGAAAACAGAACCAAAACTGAAGCCCTCAGAGAACTCTTAATGTTCACTTCTAATATAATTCTTTTTTCTAAATATTCACTGAGGAAATTATCTAAGCAATGATGTTTTGAAGTTGTATCTTGGAGGTGCGTAAGACTGACAACCTCACGACCGTGAGTCGACTCTCTAGATCGAGACAATGTGGGAACCTCGACGTCTCACAACCCTATGGGCCTCCACAACCTGTTAGAGAGATAGCTTTACCTTTTTTACTCATTCCATCAAGTCGAATCCACGAATAGTGCCTTCAATCCTACCGCATTTTTCCGCGTTCTTTCCAGTTAGCATATATTAAATAATCTTCATTCATTCATCAGTAATCTGTCATACGAGAGGTCCACAGTCTCTTCCAAAACAATTCCTCCATTTAATGCGATCTAGAGCTTTCTCCTTCAAATTAAAATATCCTCTTCTATCCCCAAGGTCATCCAGCATCTTCTTATGTCTTCTTCCTCGTCTTCTGGTCACTTCTATCCGCCCCTCTATCTTTTCTTCCATAACTTCTTTTAGAAGGCAGTTACTGCGTAAAACATGACCATTCCAATTAGCCTTCCGTTTTCTTATTTCGTGTAGGATATTCCTCTGCTCACTGACTCTAATTAACACTTCTTCATTTCTCACATAATCGGTCCAACTGATCTTCTCCATCCTTCTCCAACACCACATTTCGAAACTTTCCAGATGTTTCTGATCTACTGCCCTAAGTGTCCATGTTTCAGCCCCATACAAAGCAATGCTCCAAATGTAGCATTTCACTAGTTTTTTTTCTTAAATAATCTTAACATGCAAAATTATATAATATCGGCACATTCACACCGAACAGGTTTGTCTAGAAGTAACGCTCTAGACTTGTATTTGGGGGGTGCTCTGTTCGAGTCTCGGCCAGGACACCAGCTATCCTCAGTGAGGTCCATTGCAGTTTTTCTCAGTCCTTTAAGGAAATTTCCGGAATATCTAGACTGGGCCATAGTTGCTTCTTTCCAAAGCCTTTCCAATTTATCAATATTCGTCTACAATACTATCACATGACAGTATGAACTTTCTATACTGAAAGCGACATTAAATAGCCTACGCAAAAATAATATTATGGCGTAGTGGAGTTCCTCTCGACGGGGTTTTGGATTTATCGACAAGTTACAGCTCCTTAACGCAAATAACTATAATACTATTGATATTTGCACGGTTTATAAAATCACGCTAAATCTTTTCCAGTCCGCAGTGTCTTCATTACTAGTAGCCTGTTAACGGCTTCTAACAATAGCTACTGCTCTACTTCCAGGCTCAAGTCCTCTCTGAATGGCTGCTCCCTTCCAACTTTCTCGGTGCCTCAACTGACTAACTCAAAACTAACTCCAAGGCTGGCAGTCAATTCACACCAAACTCTTAGTCTTCCGTTCACAGCCTGACTTAAAACAAACAACTAAATTCTAATCTTGTCCCTTGCGTATAACATCTCGGCGCGGACCAAGCAGAAAACACCGTTCCTATATTGCATGCGTATCCGTTGCCGCGGGAACATGTTCACCTAACAATGGCCGTTTATTCTTGCTTATTAAGAATCTGTTGCCTAGTAACGGATGTCGTTCAGTTGTTCGTTTGGAGACCGTTGCTTAGAAACGAATGTTGTTTCAGAGCCGTTTGCTAGAACTGCTACTTCTCGGGCTCCACAATTCTTGTTTTGAGAAAATAATGAATTTTTAATTAATTAATTCCGCAGATACAAAGGGCAATGCGATGAATCCAACTGCTACTGCATCATTTCACACTGCGCAGTTTATATAAAAATCACACAGTAAGGTTAAAGTCGAATAAGGTACCTCTGGACTACTCGTACGTGCATTAGTAAGAGAGAGAGAGAATGAGAGACTGACACCGAGGGACCACTCATCTTCACAAATATTATGTAAAAAAAAAATTGCTACTAATGCAGATGTTTCGATAAATGTGTTTGCCCTTGGCAATGCGGCTGAGTTTCATTAGCTGCGACGGGGCGTGTTTCCCCTGCTTTGTGCCGTGTCCGGCGACCTGCGACACATAGTGTCAGAGCGAGGAGCAGGGGCGGCAGTAACCATGACACTACAGCCTCTGCCAGCTCTGTACCTAGCAGTGCTCACGGTGAGCCATGGTGGGGCCGCCCAAGCGCTCGACACGGTAAGTAGCCAATGATTTCTTTAAGCAGCGAGAAATGAGCAGAACACTGACAATGTTTTTGTTCCTGATAAATCACTACAAATGTTTTTATTTGCTAAGAACGTAAGTAGAGGTACAGAGAAAGTTTATGTGAGCTTCAAGAAATTGTTTTTTTCGCCAAGAAAAGGCATATAGGATTTTGGTAAGAAACCAAGAAGGAAAGAGACCACGAAGAAGAACTAGATATATCAAACCAAAATATCAAAATAGAGAATGAGTTGGTACGAACTGAGTTAATGTGGCTTATGTGGGGAACCAGTGAAGGGCTTCTGTAGACAGGGCAATAAACCTTCAGGTTCCAAAAATGATGCAGATTTTTGATTAATTGCATAAACATAAACTTCTCAAAAAGGACTAAGAATTTAGTCAGTGGGTCAGTAGAGGGAGGGACATAGACTAAAGGGTGTTTCAGAACGGGTGTTGAGAATATTTGGACCGAAGAGAGATGAAGTGACGGGAGGCTGGAGAAAACTGCACAATGAGGAGAGTCATAACTTGTACTGTTGGCCAGGTATAATTAGAATGATCAAGTCAAGGAGGATGAGGTGGGCAGGGCATGTAGCACGAAAGGGGAGAAGTGGAATACGTATAGCATATTGGTGAGAAAGCCAGAAGGAAAGAGATTACTGGGAAGACCAAGGCGTAGGTGGGTGGACAATATTAAATTGATCTTAGAGAGATAGGATGAGATTGGTATGGATTGGATTGGTCTGGCTCAGGATAGGGATTAGTGGAGGACTCTTGTGAACACGATAATGAACATTCGGGTGCCATAAAATTATGAGAAATTCTTGAGTAGCTCCAGAATTGGTGGCTCCTTTTCAAGAAGGGCTCAGCTTCATAAGTAAGTAAGTAAATAAGTCAGTAGAAATATTATCTGCGTGGTTACTTCGAAAAATGAAAAAGTGAATTACGACGATGTCATTTATTTAAGTCCGATAATTAACAATTTCAGAAATAACTACGTAATCTGGAATCATTAGCAAACATTGTTATTCTTGAATCAATATATTTGTAATTAATCTGTTTCCTTACAATTGGCCTGACAAAATCTTCGTATTGTACTGGTATAAGCAGTCGGAGTCCGAGTCCCGGTAGGGTAAAAATTTTCCCCTTTCAACAGCGCCCAGACCGGCTCTGGGCCCCATCGAAACCCCTATCCAATGGATACTGGAGACTCTTTCTCCGGGGTTAAAACGGCCGAGGGATGAAGCTGACCACTCACCTCCAACTAGTTCCGGGGTCAAGAAAAAGATGATCTATACATCCACTCCCCATACGACTTCATGGCGTAACAACAAAATATCTGAACTCCCATAACTTTAAGCAGTAAGTTACAGGATAATATATAATCTCATATCCATGTTCTTTAGCTTAGACCGTCTATCTACAGAATCCGGCCAAGTCCGAGGCTTCTTGATCATTTTCGAAACAAAATTATTTTTTACGATAAGGAGTTGTTAGCCCCATGCCCAACACCCAAGCCGGAGGACCACCCCTTTTCAGCTGTTCGACACTGCTTGGTCAATACATTCGCAGCTTCCCTCCGTACTTGGAGACCGTATCTACCATCCGCGACCTGAGGACGCACCATGCCGCGGTAACAAGAGACACCTAACCTGGCTCAAGGCACCCACTTAGAGTAAATCTACTTATTACTACATAAAATCGAGAGTAAATTGTGAAAATGCAATCTATATGTTAATAAAACTATTTGGGTCTATTCATCAGATTTGTAAAGCGGTTCCAGAGCAACGCATCTGCAATATACAGGGTTATCCTAACAGAAAACTCGTGTCCGTGAAACTTACACGCGCAGCTCAACACGTGCAAGTTTATAACTTCAAGTTCCACAAAAGGCTGTGTGGGAAACGCTTACGAATGTTGCCTTACCGGTTCAATTACTGCAGAACCTCACAGAAAACGACAAAACCCTCCGTCACTCATTCTGTATGGACATGCAGCAACGAATGAAGAAAGTAATGATTTCTTTAACCGGCAGTTTTCGGTGACGAATCAATGTTCCACATTAGCGGTACGGTGAACAAACACAACGTTCGTATATGGGGAACTGAAAACCCGAGAGCTGTAGTAGAGCGTGTGAGGGATTCACCTAAAGTGCACGTTTTTGTGCTGTATCCCGTAAAAAGATGTACCCATGCAAACTTCAGGGCGTACTTTTCAAACCATGTAAGTATCTCGGCCATGCTATTAAAACTCTTCTTTCTGTAAAACTTTGAAAGTGTCTATTTCATTTAGGCTAACCCTGTATAATGAACTCGGTCTTTGCAGAGCGTTTTGTAGACTGCAACATTTGTCCTTCGATAAAGACTGTCACATCCATGCAGTACAGCCATCCAGGAAGTATGCCCGTTAGGCATATAATAACCTCATATCTCTGTCTTTATGGAGATCGGGAACAAAAGACATATTATATCACTACCAGGAAACCGAGGACTGCAACAGAGACGCCACAATTGACGTGTCGTCTGAATTTATTCAAAAATGCGTTTGTGTGTTTGATAAAGGTCATTCTGCTGACGTATTCTATACACTAAAAATGATAAAACACTATTTAAATTTAATTTATGTGCTTTTATTGATGTAAAACTATTATATCCCTGACATGTTTCGGTCATAACATAACGATCTTCAGTTGGATACCAAATATGAAAAGTAAAAAAAAAAAAAGTAAGCAAAGATATCCCTGTAACAGGCCGTGGAGGCCCATAGGGTTGTGAGATGTCGAGGTTCCCACATATTCTAGACAATCAGCTCACAGATGGTGGCAAGGTTGTCAGCCCTACGTGCCGGCCGCCCTTTACCCCAAGAACATCCAAGAATATTCCTGGTAGTCATTTCTGTTAGAGGCTGAGTCGACCCCAGGGCCATAGCGGCTGGAAGGATTAGGTCAATTGAAAAAATCCAATGACCTCATCAAGACTTGAGCCCGCGACCCTCCGGCTTGTAGTATAGTGCCTCAACCAAATACTGAAGGCAGATATAAAGAAGTAAAATTGCCCCCGTACAACTTCATTACGATCCAAGCTATTAAAACATATAGGAGAGAGGAGGTACAGCTGCACCATTCTTAACCTCAGCATTAGCTTCACGCCCCTTCCGCTTTATTTCTGGCGAAAGAGACCCGGCACCCATTGGATAGGAGGCTGTGTGGGCCCCAGGGCCGGTCTGAACGCTGTGGATAAAAGATAAATGTCTTATCCTTCCTGGGAATAAACCTGCTTCCTCGGCCGCCCAGTCTATAACCCGTCTATAACCCAGTATGCCGACTGAGTGTCCTCACTCATAAATATTAAAGGGAATTTTACATTACTTCTCTCTGCTCTGCCGTCTCTCGCACCACCAATTGCTTCACATTTTTTAAACACCCTATCCCCGACGATACATAGACTCGTTACTGAAAATGTCGTTATATTCCTATGAGGTTAAATATGGGGACATAGAAGGTCGCGCCATAGCTCAAGCGGTTAGTCGCTGGCTTCCATCCGCGGTGGCTTGGGTTCGATCCCGGGTCTGTTCAACTTGGATTTGTGGTGGACAAAGTGGCGCTGGGGCGGGTTTTCTCCGAATACTTCGGTTTCCCTTGCCAATCTTCATTCTACCAAATTCTCCACCATCATAATCACCCGGGACAGGCTACAATAGACAAATCAGTGGCCGCCGTGCCGAGTGGACCCAGTTGGACTCCACCCTCGACGAAGCGAAATTAAAAATGAGGTTAAATACTAGGCTTCATTTTATTGGCGATGTTTAAATCTTGTATTTACAAATAATATATTTGCTCTAATATCTGGTATCTCCCTTAAGATGGTCGTTTTATGTATGAAATATGCTAGGGATGTAATAGTATTTCATAAATGAAGGTACAGATAAATTTGTTTCTGTGCTTAATTAATCAATTACGCACTATGCCACGAAGACGAATGGGGGAGTGCATTCATAACTCCACCATCCTTGACCTCGACACTAGATGGAGGTCAGTGGTCAGCTTCTTTCTCCTGCCGCTTTGTGGCGCGAACAGTCCTGCAGATCACTACCAGTCTCTTGAAATTGTTTTAACCAACGACGGATAGCGCTATCTGAAAGTGGATCTTTTACATTTTGGGTGTAGTAACGACGATGCCTTTTGATAAAAAAAGACTTCGCTTCGAAAAACCAAAGTACGTACATTGCTTTCTCTTGAACAGTCGCAATTTTAATTTATTACGTCATATTCTATAGCAGATATCAATGCAGCGAGTACATGTTTCCTAAATTAAACTTTTTGAGAATATTTTCGTATTCCAAAAGCAGTTTTATTTTGTTGGTGTTTGAAAATTATAGGCCACGGAAATTCCGACAATAATTTAAAATCAAATTGTATTATCGCATAAATTAAAAAGAATATAGAGTTTGCAATCTTCGAAAACAAACTTTGTTTAAAGTCACAGATTCAGAGAGGCCGGTATACCGTTAAGAAGTGCTGGTTTATTATACCAATCCTCTATTCTTTTACCTGTTTTCCTGCGGTCTCTATTTCGAAACGCTTCATCAGTGCAGGTGTATTCTGCCCGTGATTATGTAATTACAGATAACGCTTGACTGGAACCCAAACGTGAACTTTTAGCAAAGTAATTAAACAAACACGGAAAAGTTGTTATCTCGGCAGAGAGTTTCAATCTCTTTACCTGCTACACAGAGCCCGTACATTTTGGGGTGAATATCAGATAGGCTACTGAACCCTTCTTGAAGAGATTTTCTGTAGAAATAATATTACTTTTTACCTTCATTGTACAGTATGAAGCAAATACATGTCAGGACATGTATGGTTTTATCGATATCTCACATGAATATTATATAATAAAACAGACACTAGCAAGATAAAATATTTCCATATACAGGGGTCACTATAGACGGGGTTTGGATTGGTTAATTACATTTATTGACCACTTTTACACAAGACTCGGAACTACAAGCACTTACAACGCTATCGCTGATCTACACACTTTACAAATTACTAGAGCACCCGCTAAGCCTTTTCCAGCCTGCTGTCATCACCAGCCTTTACCTAGCCACGGCTTCTAACAATGGAGATTCTTCAGCTTCATACGCTGAAGTCCTTTCTTCTTGTTTTTACATGGTTCCCGCTTAGAAACGGGTTTATATGCCGCAATATATTCATGTTGACTGGGGACTAGCGAGTTCTAATTGTGTAGCCTATCAACGTTGCACCTAGATATCATTAGCCGCTGGATGATATGTGAAGGTGGTCTCTTTTTCTGGTTACTTATTTCATGACGCTGTAGATATCGTAGACACACTTCTAGAATACAAGTCTAAAGCGTTACCTCTAGACCAATATGCATGGTAAATATGGCAAGTGTGGCACATAACTCAACGTGTTATATTAGAAAGGAAACAGTCGGGCGTACTTGAAGTCACCACTCTTCATGATCACCGCTGAAAGATCCTCCAATCAAACATGCATTAATCTGGTTCAAGACAATATTCAGTATCAAGTTTTTTGGGGAGTCGAGATAATGACGGGCTGGAAGACCAGAGTTCGATTCCTGGTAGGGGTAAATTTCTCCTCTCCATACCGTCAAGACCGTTTCAGGGTCCCACCCACCTTCCTATGCAATGGGTAGAGGGCGCTACTTCTCCGAGGATAAAGCGGCTGGAGCGTGAAGCTGACCAATCGCCTACATCTAGTTTCGAGTACAAGAATGGTGGACCTCTACCTCCACTTCCCCCACGTCTTCATGGCATAATACTTATTTAATTAAACACACGAGTGACTTCAACTTTTTTACCTTCATCATGCTTTTCGAAACACGATGACGAATTTTCGTGTTCTGTAAACAGGGAACTTCCTGACCGGTTACAATTATGTAGTGGGAAAAGTCTGTACCACAGCAAAAGAACTTGTTTGTACTCGTATTTTCAGCAGACGACGGCTCCAGACTTCTGGTGGGACCTGACACTAAACCACAGTGCTCCCATTAGCACGGTACTCGGAGAACACGCTGAGGGTGAAGGAAGGGAGGTTCCCGAAAAGGAATTACCGTTCGCCTGGGACCTGGGATGGGCAGAAGGCAACACGAGTACGTGGAGTGCCGGTGGATCAGCAAGGTGGACAGCCTGGGCCTGGAAATCCAACTGTGACTCCAGTAGGTTAAGTCACTGTGTAGCATTTACCCTTTGAACATAAACCAAAATGGAGCTAGGCACTTCAGGAGACATCACATCCGGTTTCATTGTTATGTGGTGTAAACGGATGTGTACGTATTGATGTAGTTGTACTTGTACTTTGTTTAACGACGTTGTAATTATCTCAGTTTATAGTAGGCCGAATAATTAGATGGGAGTGAATATTTTTTAAAGGTTCTGGAAAGAAGCGATCGTGGTGTTAACTTAATGTGCTACCAGGACACGGGATGGAGGGACTGTGGTAAAATCACGAAATATCTCAATTCTTTCTCGTTTCCCGTTCTTGAAATATGTGTCTGTCTGTATGTATGCATGTATGTACATATGTATGTGCATGTACGTATGTGTGTATGTGTATGTATGTGTGTATATGTATGTATGCATGTATGCAAGTGTGTATGTATGTAGTGTGTATGTATGTAGTGTGTATGCAGGTGTGTATGTATGTAGTGTGTATGCAAGTGTGTATGTATGTAGTGTGTATGCAAGTATGTATGTATGTAGTGTGTATGCAGGTGTGTATGTATGTAGTGTGTATGCAAGTGTGTATGTATGTATGCATGTATGCAAGTATGTATGTATGTAGTGTGTATGTATACATTTCATATATATACATATGTACATATGTGTATCTATATTTATATGTATGAGTGTATGTACGAGTATGTAGTATTGATGTAGTTCTTATTATCATGTTCTTGTTACCTCTCTTCATCTTTCCTTGTCTGTTTACTTTTCTGTATTAATCTGTTTTTCCCTCCAGTGCTTGCCTGTAATTTGTCTTTGACTTTACATTGTGTTTGTCCATAATATAATTACCTCTGTCTACATTGTGTTGTCTGTAAGTGTCCTTCTAACCTTGATTAGGCACATAAATAATAAACAATTTAACTGAATTGAATTATATACACATATTTTTGGCGTAAGTCAAAATTCTTGAATGTTGCCTTGAGCCCCTATTAACGAGCACACTGAAACCTTTTCATCTAAGAGCAGCTGTTCCTCTAACTTGCTCTCTCTTACAGACATAACTGGTGGTGGATTCCTCTTCAACAAGACTGGAGAGGAAACAGCGCTAGGTGGCGTCAGCTGGCTACGAGAGAACCAGAGTAGCACCATCACTTGGAACTGCTTCGCGGAAGGGAATTTGACGGGACCTTTACCATGGAGTAACTGGGAATTAAAGTTCGCCGACGACGTATTGATTGGATTCATGACCGAAAGGACACGCTGGGGTTTCTACGTAGGTCAGCATCAACTTGTCAAAGAAATTCAATTATGTGACACGTAACCTCAGGCAATCTGAGAAAATTAAAATTTTAGTATAAAAATTCATTAAAAATCTAGAAATATCGTGTAAAATATGCAGAATACAATCACATACAGCGACAACATCTGAGGTTCTCGCAGCTGTGGCAACGAAAAATTCTATGTAGTAGGCAGAAGTTCACCGACGTTTCGGTGGAATATATTGCCTCTATCTTCGGGATTCAAGTAACTGGATTGCGAGAATTAGGCTATCTGCTTTGCTTATTCTTCTTTTATGAAGTCAGACACTGCATGATCCTCAAGAACTTCGGTGAAATTCTAGCGGACTGCACGGTGTCACAGCTTAGAAGATAGCAAGCGGCAGCGTAGTTGGTCGAGGCACTATGCTACAAGCCGGAAGGTCATGGGTTCAAGTCCCTATGAGGTTATTAGATTTCTTTTTCAATCGACCTAATCCTTCCAGCCGCACTATGGCCCTGGAGTCGACTCAGCCTCTAACAGAAATGAATACCAGGAATATTCTTGGGGGTAAAGGTGACCGGCGCGTATGGATGACAACCTTGCTGCCATCTATGAACCGATTGTACAGAAAATGTGAGAACCTCAACATCTCACAACCATATGGGCCTCCACGGCCTGTTACAGGGATACCTTTATTTACTTACTTTACTTTACATTGTTCATACTGTCACGTGATTCAATTACTATAGATGGGGTTTGGATTGGTAATTGGATTTATTGAACCCTTAGAGAACGCAACTATAGCGCTCACGCTAATTCACACACACACTACAGTTCACTATAACACGTACGAAGTATTCTCAGTCTGCTGTATCTTCACCGGTTGTCGCCTGGTAACGGCTTCGAACGCCGTAGCTTCCTCGGCCCCAGTATTCACGTCCTTACTGGCCTGCCATTATCTCACAACTAATTCATTGCTCCAACTGACTAACTTCCAGACTGGTGGCCATCTTATACTATTCACTCTTCACTGTTTCCCCAGTTCCTCGATTTTGCATCAAGAATATATCGCACGGACCACGTAGAGAACACCGCTTCCCCGTTACTCCACTTTTCTTTGTTACAATTCTGTTGCGGCCATTACCTAGCAAAAGCCGTTGTTAACAGAGCTAATTCCTAGCAACGGCTGTTGTAAAACTGCTTTTATCGTGGTCGTTGCCTAGCAGCGGATCTACAAGCTACAGTCCTTATATTCTGAGCTAAATTTCCGATATATGTATTAGTCATCACCAAGAAATTGATACAATTATTCAACGTGTATGGGCGCATATATTTTGAAAATGTGATACACAGTGAGTACAGGTGGTTGCCATGTTGTGTTTAAGTACAGAGTACGTTGAGAATTCCTGATGGTAGAGACAATAACAGCCTCCAGAACGTTCGAAATACGTTCCATCGTAACACAGTGGACTGTTCGAGAAAACACCGTTGCCTTTGCTGGATTTCATTTGAATACAGCGGTGACTGTCAAGATTACGGTTTTTCTGGATTGTAAAGCCGTGTATTTCAGAGACAACCAGGCGATTTCCAGAAATATGTTGCATCCATCTTCAAAATTGAAGTTTCAGTCGAGAAAGAAGCCTTCTAAAGCAGGCGAAAAGCCGATACATTCCTCCAAAAGACCGGGCTCACTTCGATCTACAAAGCATTGCCAGCCAGAATACACTGCTCTTCATCACTGCAATTGCACTCCGTTAAAGCTTCAAGTTTTATTTTCTTTATGAGCGTATTTAATTTGCAAGAAAGACTGTTAAACTACTGCAGTATTAGAGCGCTTAAGCCCTCAATTCTTTGCCTATTACTATATAAAGACGCGTCCATATTACTTGTGCTCTTGTGACTCGCTATGCTCGCGAGTAATGTGGACGATATGACAAGTCACGAGACAAGCAAATTTAAAATGTTTAATTTAAAAACTATAGCCAGTAAATTAAAATACGACTACAGCCTATACACACTACGAGTAAATATACGGATCCTCACGCGAGCAACTGAAGTAGTGTGGACGAAGATTTACGAGCACAAGTAAAAGCCAGACGAGTCTCCTGACGAGCACGAGTAATGTGGACGCGCCTTAAGGCATCTTGGCACAGTATCTAAAGCATGCAACACCACCCATAACTCCTTGGATTACTAACGATAGATGTGTTAGTATAGGTAAAGGGTAAAGTTGTCCCTGTGCTTAAGTAAGTAAGCACTATGCCATAAAGGTGTATGGGGGGCAGCGGTTTGAGGTGACGGGTCAGCGTCAGCCCTGACGCCTTACCTCCGGGAAGAGTCCCCCGGTACCTGTTGGATAGGAGACTGGGTGGGCCCCAGAACCGGTCTGGACAACGCGGAGAAGAGAAAATCCTTAACCCTACTGGGACTCGAACTCCGACCCCTCAGCCGTCCAGCCCGTAACCAGTCGCTATACCGACTACGCTATCCCGGCTCCTGTTAGTGTAGGTACCGTATTTTTTTTTAGAGAGAGAGTAGAACAGAGATGCGCATGCGCCTAACATCCTGGCAGCCACCTCTTATTTTCCAGTACCGTTTTGCGATGGAGCTCAACTTAATTCTGAAGACTACAGAACTTTTGTTTCGTTCTTTTTGACAAATTTAGATTGCTTGATACCCAGTCCAAATCAAAACAGATCCAAATTCATCTTTCCCTATACTTGTACATAACCTGCACAGTAATGCATTACTAATTATGTGACCGCAACTTTCAGCCCATTCACTCGGCTGTATATCCATCCGCTAATGTTTTCCACTCCGTGTTTCAGGTTCGGACCTGGTTCTGAGCAAACACTGCGCAAACGGAATGCCCGTGGTTGGCAAGCTCTACAAGTTCCGGCATGGGAAGGAAATTGAGAAGTCCGTTAAGGACGACCCGTTCAAAACAGTTACATATTCGAGGCGGAAGCGAAGCCCCGACTTCTTCGACAGGGTTGGTCAGAAGGTTAAAGAATTGTTTGAGAAGGCTAAGAGGTTACTTGGTATCGGACAACAACAAGACGGGCAAGGCGCTCAAGATGATCAGGAGGGAAGAGATGGTAAGTTCTCTTATCTGTTTCTGTGGATACGTACAGTAGGCAAGGGACGAGAAGGACTTGAAACGATCTGTCATTATGAACAGTTAAGAAACGTGTGTTCCGTATGTGTCTGGATGTTTCCACTCTGGAATCTACTACAGTTCACAGTTACGTTTCGTAATTTTCCCGTAGGACAAATCCTTTTTACCTCTGTAGCTTCAAAGCATATTCCTCCGGTCTTAATTAAAATTTTTTGGATTACTAACCATTTAAAGCCCTGTGCTTTATACCAACCACGTGCTTTAACATAATGAAATTCTGTATTCAGAAGTAACGGTGTTATTTGTGTGTTTCATGTGGTTCTTTCTCACTACAAAAGGCCGCGCCATAGCTCAAGCGGTTAGTCGCTGGCTTCCCACCGCGGCGGCCCGGGTTCGATCCCGGGTCTGGACAAGTGGAGTTTGTGGTGGACAAAGTGGCGCTGGGCAGGTTTTCTCCGAGTACTTCGGTTTCCCCTGCCAATCTTCATTCGACCAATTGCTCCACAATCACCCTCACCTATCATCTGGGGCTGGTACAATAGGCCAGAAGTGGCAGCAGTACAAGGGACTTAGTCCCACCCCTCTAGCAATATAGAAAACTTCGAAATACTGAGGAAATTTTGTGAAAACTCTGAGACGCTATGTTTTAGTAGTGCAGTCTAGATTCTCAGTTGATATCTCCAGATGCTTCTATAAGATAACGACCCCTGGGCCCCTTTTTCGACAATTTGAATCAGACAAGACAATACATGCAAGCTCAGTGAACCTGCTTGCCTTTAACTAACGAAATTCTTCTTCGTTTGGCAGGAGGACAGAAGTGCAACTCGTTCTTGGATCTCGTGATGAGGATCATTAACCTGATATTCAGGAGACGAAGCACGCCAGCAGGTCCCCCAGGAAGTCCCCCAGGAGGGAACTTACCGCCACCTGGAGATGCAGATGGTGGATCAGCAGAAGATGACTTAGGTGGAGACCCCCCAGGCGGAGCCAATGTACCTCCACCTGACGCGGAAGAGATAGACACATCTCAAAACGATGCAATTCGGGACTGGGAATGAAGGAATTTGTTGCAAAATGGCATCTGTATCGGAGTATAATAAAAGTAAACTTGATTTGTTCTAAATGAATAAACACCTGGCACTCTGTTTCATCCCTGAAACGTGAAAACTGCAGGGCGGACAGGAATATGAAGTTACTAATGTTTTGTTGCACCATCCTGTTGAGCGTCGCGTATTTTCACTTCGAATTTTAAATTACTTTTTTACATCGTTGAATGTATAAGGAGTAGGCCTTCTCGGCCCTTGCACCGCGATCTACAGTGGTCTGTTGTGCTTCTTCAGTGCATTATATGTTTCCAGCGATATGGTTATCATCAGGTACTTCAAAGGGACAGCGCACTCGGTACAGCGACTGGCTACGGGCCGGATAACCGAGGGGTCGGAGTTCCAGCCCCAGTAGCGTTCAGAATTTTCTCTTCACATCGACCACACAGGCTCTGGGACCCACCCAGTTTCCTATTTAATTGGTATCGGGGTTAAAGCGGCCGGGGCTGACACTGACCACTCACCTGAAGCCAGTGCCGAGGTCAAGTAAACGTGGATCTATACATCCACTAACCCATACGTCTTCATTGCGCACTGCTTAATTAGTTAAGCACAGCAAAAAATTAAAATTCGGTCCACGGTGAAATGCAATGCCGTTGTACAGGTCCGTAAAAAATCGATAGGTTTAGAATTAACTAAAATAACTTCATGGAGCTAAGCTCTTCTTGATAAGCCGCCAGTTGTGCAGCTACTCCATTATTCCCCAAACTTTTATGGATCCTGAATGTTCATTACCGTGTTCACAAGAGCCATCCACTGGCCCCTAACCTGCGCCAGCTCAATCCACTCCACACCACCCCCATCTTATTTCTCCAATATAAATTTTAATATCCTCCCACCTATTTCTAGTTCTTCCTAGTGGTCTCTTTCCTTCTGGCTTTACCACCAGTATCCTATATGCATTCCTCTTATCCATATTCGCCCTACGAACCCTGTTTTCCTCCCCCTCCCTGACTTCATTATTCTAATTATACTTGGCGAAAAGTAAAAGTTATGAAGCTCCTCATTATGAAGCTTTTCATCCCTCTTCGGTCCAAATACGGGGCACCGATCTACAGGTGATTAACTCTTAATTCTCAACACGAATACAACCCGTTCAAATCCACGTATTCACACAAACAGACAGACAGACAGACTGTGTTCTAAAACCAAGTGTTACGTGTGTGAAAATCGTGTAAATATTACAAAATTTAGAGATCGATTTCTTCACCATAACAAAACACTCTCGTACACACTAAGTACATGAGGAAGTAGACAAGAACACATCATTGCCTTGAGGTCGCTCTGGTGACCAACTCTCCCTTTCGTTAGATCCTGGCCTCTGTTGAGTATGTACGTACGTACATGTCTGTGAGTGTGTGGATATGGGAATGGGACGTCGACACATTTTCAGGCGCCCATAAACAGAGCCCTGTGTTTGTTAATGGGTCGTTATTCATCCTACTGCAGCCCTCTCTCGCATTTATGGTTCTCCTCTCTCCAGCACCTGGAGACCCGTAGGGAGACACGCTCTAGTGGTGAGAAGTTCCAGCGAGACGAAGTTAACTTCTGAACGCATAAACCTGGTTCAAAGCATCCAATATTTGTCGAGAAAAATTGGAGAGCAGTGTGTGAAGAGGGCAGAAGAAGTTATACTGAGGCAGTGAAGCTTCACTTGTGTATCATTCAAATATTGTTCCAACGAAACTCGTCTAATACAGCCTTTTCTTTATTGCTAGTGGGGTGGGACTAAGTCCCTTGTACTGCGGCCACTTCTGGCCTATTGTACCAGCCCCAGATGATAGGTGAGGGTGATTGTGGAGCAATTGGTGGAATGAAGATTGGCAGGGGAAACCGAAGGACTTTGAGAAAACCTGCCCCAGCGCCACTTTGTCCACCACAAATCCCACTTGACCAGACCCGTGATCGAACCCGGGCCGCCACGGTGGGAAGCCAGCGACTAACCGCTTGAGCTATGGCGCGGCCCTAAGACAACCTAACTTCACACAAACAGAAGAAATCTACTCTGCTGTACGAGATCTCAGTGTGAATTCAGTTGTTTAGAAATAAGTAACTCACGGATCTGAGCCCTTCATGAGAAGCCTTCAGTCGCTCAATCTCGCAAGAATTTCCCAACATTTCACGAAACCTGAAGTTTCATTACCACGTTTAGAAGGATCCTCCTTTGTAACATTTCCTAAAAAAAGTTATTTTTTTACGTTACATTATTGACGGGTGTGTTAATAATAAGGATAAAGCCTTTAATATACAGGGTGATTCATATAGAACCGGCCCGACGAAATGAGCTGTAATATAAAATATAACATACAGATATTAAAGTAATTTACACATATCTTATCTTGGATTGTGTGCAGTGATCAGAGCAGGTGTTGAAAGTGTCCGCCGTTTTCAAGTAGGCACTAGAAACACTCGCTGTTCAACAGTGAACTCCATGACTGTCGCCTGCGCACTGCAGACACGTTTCGGCATTGTCCTTGACCTTGCAGCATAAGGGCTGCCACTTGGCGGATCATGTGCACACCATTCGACTCAGCACGGCCCACGGATTATTATGTCATTGTGAGCGGTTATATGCATCACCTGCGGAATTATTAGCAAATTCATCGGGCCGGTTCTATATGATCACCCTGTATTTCCTTGTGATGGCTTCAGCGTAGTGTTTCGGCAGCCAGTTCACTATCTACTGTACCACTTGTTCACTTCAGAGGCAGGGTACTAGTGCTTGTCCAACTGTGTGAGTAATTCCATAGCTGCGGACAACTGACAAATGAACCAACTGATTATGATTGATTGATCTAATGAGGCTTTGCGCTCAGTTTTCAGGTACCGAAGTGCGGTTCTCTTATATCCTTGTAGTGTAATATTTGTGTCGGCTCGTTGAAGACGAAAATATATAATTTATTGCATCAAGATAATTAGAGTAAAACGATAATAATAATTATTATTTTTTAACGAAAATTGGGTTCAAAATAGAATATTGGCTAAGAACTACAGATCTAGAAATATGCAGATTATTAAATAAATATCAAATTTAAATCATCTTGAGTGTAACTTAAGTAAATATTTAAACTGTTTTTTTCCCTCTGGGGTAAAGGGGCAAAGGAGTGAAACTGCCCACTCATCTTTATCCAATGCAGAGCTGAAGAGTGGTGGAACTATACCTCCACTTCCCCCTATGTCTTCACGGCACATTGCTTAATTATATATAAGCAAACGGATAATCTTTTTTTTTCCCCCAGTGACTCTTCCAGCTCATTCAGGGCCATGGCCTGTTCTTCAGTACCGTAATCAATTTTACACAGGTGGTAAGACTCCTTGGAAGAGCCATCAGCTCCTCGCAAGGCCTCTACCTAATCAGAGAACAACACAAACGCAGAATAAACACCATGCCATAAGTGGGATTCGAAAACACGGCCCGAGCGTCCGAAAACAGTTCATATCTCAGAACGCGCGGCTACTGTGACCGGCACACGGATAATCTTACCTATCATCATCATCATCATCATCATCATCATTAGTAATCTGTCAGACGACAGGTCCACAGTCTCTTCCAAAACAATTCCTCCACTTAATGCGATCTAATCTTACCTATACCTAACAATAAATCCAATCTAAATCTGTTTAGTAATTAAGCATACAGACAGACAGATACAACGTACATACTGCGTGTCTACAAAGAAGAGTTATTTTCAAACATACTGATGTCCGCAATTGTGAGGACAGTTGTGTGTTAGTGCTCCTCTCTTAAGCAGACAGAGACAATCAGTACGCCATGACGGGGTGCAATCCTGTACAGTCTGGACGGAAATGTTATAGCGTAACTGGAACGCGTTTGTATAGAACAAATGATTACAGTTATCAGTCAGGGATATAAACTCAATATACTTCATTGAAATGGATCCATTAAGTAGACGCTGAAACGGGGTCACAGAGACGTGCAGAAGGGCGAGTATACACGTATTTCAAATATCTCGGCATTGTCTGCGAGCTCTTGTGAGCAAGGTAATGAAACTTTGAGTTGAGTGAACAACCCAGATTTTTTTGTACCACAGCAACTGCATTCTTTTTAAGAAAGGTTTATGTTCCATGGAGTTAGTTAGCGCAGAAATTTTATAGGAATGTGAATGCAACAACGCCTTTGTGACCTCGTCACGATTGGTCTCATTACTTGCATAAATATCTTTTTAGTATGTATCCTGTTTTGTCATATATGAGAGATATATAAAATATATAAAATGGGGACAGTCTACATAACAATATTTCAGATAAAAGCGATACTACTGTATGATGCCGCCTCTGTGGTCTAGTGACCGAGTTCCTGGCTACAGATCCAGAGCTCCCGGGTTCGATTCCCGGCGCTACCAGATTTTCTGAGAAATAATGGGTTTGGAACGGGGTCCACCCAGCCTCGTGAGGATAACTGAGGAGCGGCTCCGGTTTAGAAAAGCGAAATTAATGGCCGTGGGAATCCGTTATGCTGACCACGCGGCACTCTCTATCCGCTAAAGTGGGCACTAACTTCGCCGACAAGCGGCGGTGGCTTGGTCGATATAGTTCGCTTGCGGACTAAATGCCACGGAGTTTACTACTATATGAACATTTGTTTAGTGGCTGTTGATACAGTAGTACTTCTCCAGCTTTTCTGAAATATTATTGTGGAGACTGCCTCCATTATATATATATATATCTTACATACATATATTCTCACATTCAAACTGTTCTTTTTCCGCATTCCTATGTACTCCTACATGTTATGAAACGAGACGTCGAGGCCAGCGTTTAGCACCACTTCCCACAAACAAAACTCACAAATAGTCAATCGTAAAATGCATCCTTCGTACAGAACACTACACTTCACACAGCCATATAAAAATATTGTAGTTTATTTTTTATTGCTAGTGGGGTGGGATTGAGTCCCTTGTACTGCGGCCACTTCTGGCCTATTGTACGAGCCCTAGATGATAGGTGAGGGTGATTGTGGAGCAATTGGTGGAATGAAGATTGGCAGGGGAACCCGAAG